CAAAAGAAAGGAACTACAAGGGAGACTGTAGGTAGGGTTTCAGGTTCCCTGACAACGTGTCCACCCAGCAGCCTGCTTTGTTCTTGCCCTTTTTCGCGTCCCATTCCACCTCGTACCTGGGATTGGGCAGGAGAGGTCAGCCAACTGCCCACCGAGTCATAGTCATGATTGATACTACATACACAATACATACACACAGACACACATGCATGGGTATGTGTGTATGTGTGTGTGTATATATACATATATGTATACACACATGCGTACGTGCATACACATAGGCATACCTAACGTGTACATTATATTAAGGTGCGTCTGGCTACACATACACATACGCAATCCTTTCTGGGACTCACATCTCGAGCCTCTGCAGAAACCTTGCATCCCTTGCAAAGGCATCCCTGCGGAAAATATGGTTTAGGGTTTAGGGTCTATTCTTTAGGGTCTATATAGGTCTATTGTTTCGGGTGTAGGGTCTAGCTTTCGGGCCTAGGGTTTCGGGCTAAGCACAGGTCCCAGGCACTTCACCTTGATGCCGTCAGTCAGGTTGGTGGGATCGCCTCCTGTGAACTGTCTCGAATGCCTCAGCTCTCAAAGATCTCTCCGGATCTTCCACGGAAGGATGCCGAGGTCTCAAGAGAACCTCTAAAATCAATGCTAGTCATAGTAATATTAGTAATAAGGATAGTAACAGTAATAATTAATCCGAATAGTGAGAGTTACTACTATAGTAACTATGGAACCGATAAAATCCTTGATGCATGGCAGTGTGCCGGAGCTGAGGGTCATACTGTTGACGGTAGAAATCCTGCATTACCTTAAGGACCCTAAACTTTGGGAACTATGGCCTATCACTTACAACATATATATATATATATATATAGGTAATGCAGGATTTAAATCATCAACGGTAGGTTCAGGTCGCAGGACTTTGGGTTTCGGGTTGAGGAGGTAAGGTCTAGGGCTGGGGCTCTTTTGGAGGTGGGGTCACTCCAACAGAACAAACGCAACCAAATGCAAACCCTAAACCCTTATTGATGCAGCGGCCTGACGACTTAGCAAAGGGTTGTTTTTGGGGTATATGATGCTATGGCTCGGGGGTCGCTATAATTATAATCAGGAACCCCCAAAAAATAGTATTGGTCTTTACTTAGGGCCCTATGCTAAGTGCTAAACCCTAACCCAAACCCTAAACCCCATCCCCTAAACACCCCAAACCCTGAACCCTAAACCCTAAAACCCACAACCCAAACCCCAAACCCCAAACCCTGAACCCTAAACCCTAAAACCCAAAACCCAAACCCCAAGCCCTGAATCCTGAACCCTAAACCCCAAATCCCAAACCCCAAACCCTCTAAAACCCAAACCCAAACCCCAAACCCTGAACCCTAAACTCTAAAACCCAAAACCCAAACCCCAACACCCAAACCCGGAACCCTAAACCCCAAATCCCAAACCCCAAACCCTCTAAAACCCCAAACCCCAAACCCTGAGCTCGTGGGGCCCGAGGCACGCGAAAAGGTCTTCGCTGCCATCTTGAGGCTCAATGAACCCGAACCCTGGCGATGGGCTTAGGGCTTAGGGATTTAGGGTTTAGGGTTTAGGGCTTATATATAATGGAACTCTGGCGATGCTTGGGCCCTCAATAAAACTGAGGGCTTAGGGGCTTAGGGCTTAGGGTTTTAGGGCTTTAGGGCTTAGGGGTTCAGGGTTTAGGGCTTTAGGGCTTTAGGGCTCAGGGTTTAGGGTTTAGGGTTTAGGGGTTCGGGCTTAGGGTTTAGGGGTTTAGGGGTTTAGGGCTCACCTAGACCCGAAGAACCTACCCTTGTAAGGACTTATATATAATGGAATCACGATAGTGAGTCCCGACAAGGTAGGTTCAGCTTTCAAAGCAAACGTCAGCCCAGGAACAAGTATTATAGTATTCAGGCCGACTAAGTCTGATACTATCATGTACTATGATCTACTATAAGATACTATAAGCTACCACAACATACGATGATGTACTATGATACACTATATGGGGGTTTCCGAAAATAGGGGACCCTAATATAGTACTTTAAATAATAGGATCCTTAATATAAGGACCCCAAAATAAGGTACCCCTAATTTTCGGAAACTCCCATATTCTACTAGAAGCTGCTAGAGCACCCATGGAGCTGTGGGAGACTTTCAGAAGCCAGAGACGTCATGTAGGCTCTTACTTGTAAGATCCTGCCCTGACTGGCTGGGCTTAGGGTTTAGGGTTTAGGGTTTAGGGTTTAGGGTTTAGGGCCCAAGTACCGCCGCTGTTAAGGTTTAGAGTTTTTAGAGAACCCGACAACCCTAGCAAGCCGGATGAAACCCCTGTGATTC